TGAATAAGGAAGATTGTAGAAGAATTGATGCCTTTGAGTTGTGGTGTTGGAGGAGAATACTAAAAGTGCCATAGACTGCCAAAATAACCAATAGATCTATTAGGGAGTTTTCCATCCTCTTCTATATTCTGGAATAATTTGAGTAGAATTGGTGACAGCTCTTCCCTGAATGTTTGGTAAAACTAAACGGTGAAGCCATCTGGTCCTGGACATTTTGTGATTGGGAATTTTTTGATGACCTGGTCAGTTTCTTCCTTTGTTATAGTACTGTTCAAGTTTTCTACTTCACTCTGTGTAAGTTTAGGTAGGTCGTGCTTGTCTACAAGTATATCCATCTCCTCTAGGTTTTCAAATTTATTGGAGTACAACTCTTCATAATATTCCGTTATTATCCTTTTTATTTCAATTGATTCTGTTGGGACATCACCCAGGTGATTTCTTATGCGTGTTATTTGTGTCTTCTCCCTCTTTTCTATTGTTAACTTTGCCAATGGTTGGTTGATTTTATTAATTCTTCCAAAGGACCAGCTTTTTGTTCTGTTGATTCTTTCTATAGCTTTTCTGTTTCTATATCATTTATTTCTGCTCTAATCTTTGTTATTTCCTTTCTTCTGTTGACTTTAGGTTTACTTTGCAAGTCTGTTTCTACTTGTTGGAGATGTTGTGTTAATGTGTTGATTTTGCTTCTTTCTTCTTTTTGGATGTGTGCATTTATTGCAATAAACTGTCCTCTCAGTACTGCTTTTGCTGTGTCCCAAAGATTATGCTATGTTGTGTTTCATTCTCATTTGTTTCTAGGAACTTTGCGAATTCACGTTTTATTCCTTCTACTACCCAGTTGCTTTTTGGCATGGTGTTATTCAGTTTTCATGTATTTGATTTTATTTCCTTGGACTTCCTATTGTTGATTTCTAATTTAATAGAATTGTGATCTGAGAAGATGTTTGTAGTATTTTGATGTTTGTAAATTTACAAAGGCTTGTTTTGTGGCCTAACACGTGGTCTATTCTGGAGAGTGTTCCATGTGCCCTGGACAAGAATGTGTATTGAGCTGTTGTTGGATGGAATGCTCTGTACACATCTATGATGTCCAGTTGGCTAATTGCATTGTTTGGTTCGTCTGTGTCTTTGTCAAGTTTCTTTCTGGTTGTTCTGTCCGTTTTTGAAAGGGTGTATGAAAATCCCCCACTATTATTGTAGATTCATCTACTTCTTTCTTCAAATCTATTAGAATTTGCTTTATATATTTTGGAGCT